ACCGAAGGCCCCAGTGCCCGCGGCCGCATGCGTCCCCCACACCCATTTCGGCACACCCCTCACACGTTTCGTGGCTCCATAGGGAGCTCCACCGAAGGCCCCAGTGCCCGCGGCCGCATGCGTCCCCCACACCCATTTCGGCACACCCCTCACACGTTTCGTGGCTCCATAGGGAGCTCCACCGAAGGCCCCAGTGCCCGCGGCCGCATGCGTCCCCCACACCCATTTCGGCACACCCCTCACACGTTTCGTGGCTCCATAGGGAGCTCCACCGAAGGCCCCAGTGCCCGCGGCCGCATGCGTCCCCCACACCCATTTCGGCACACCCCTCACACGTTTCGTGGCTCCATAGGGAGCTCCACCGAAGGCCCCAGTGCCCGCGGCCGCATGCGTCCCCACACCCATTTCGGCACACCCCTCACACGTTTCGTGGCTCCATAGGGAGCTCCACCGAAGGCCCCAGTGCCCGCGGCCGCATGCGTCCCCCACACCCATTTCGGCACACCCCTCACACGTTTCGTGGCTCCATAGGGAGCTCCACCGAAGGCCCCAGTGCCCGCGGCCGCATGCGTCCCCCACACCCATTTCGGCACACCCCTCACACGTTTCGTGGCTCCATAGGGAGCTCCACCGAAGGCCCCAGTGCCCGCGGCCGCATGCGTCCCCCACACCCATTTCGGCACACCCCTCACACGTTTCGTGGCTCCATAGGGAGCTCCACCGAAGGCCCCAGTGCCCGCGGCCGCATGCGTCCCCCACACCCATTTCGGCACACCCCTCACACGTTTCGTGGCTCCATAGGGAGCTCCACCGAAGGCCTCAGTGCCGCCGCCCGCATGCGTCACCCCCACCCATTTCGGCACACCCCCCGCATTTCTCGCACGGCAGGGTCATCACCACGGTGGCGTGCCAGGGGCGCACCTTGCGCGAAGGCGACGGGGCGGGGGAACGGCGCTCCGGGGGCGGCCAGACCTCCGGGGCGCGAGCAGTCCGCGGCCAGACCATCTCTCGGTCCTGTGGACTCTCGCCCTGGGCCGTCGGCTGCCCGGCGCGCTGCTCCTTCGGTCGACGTCGCCCAGGCGTGATCCTGGATTGCGGCCGCCCCGAGGTAGGGAACGGCAAGAAGGAGGACGACGACTGGTGGCTGGAGCTCTACGTGCTGCTCTCGCGCGCCACGCGCCACGAGGACCTCCTGCTCACGCGGGCGCCGCGCATCGAGTTCTTCCTGGCAGGGCCGCCGCAGGGCTTGCGGAAGCAGCTGGAGCAGTTTGCGGCGCGCACGAAGCGGTGCAGGAGGGAAGCGACGGCCCTCGCCAGGGAGCTCGGCTTCACCGAGTTCATCCGCGAGGCCTGACCTGAGGAGCGTCTCCCCCGAGCCGCGCCTTCTCTCGACTGCCCGACTAATTGTTTGGCCTCGCGCCGCGGACGACCCGCGCGCGTCGCTGGGACCCTCTCGGGGCGACCAGCGCGCGTCGCGGGAACTCCGCGCTGCGGGGGGCCCGGCGCCTCGTTCGCCCGTCGTCGCTCTGCCCAGCGGTCAGAGACTTGCCCGCTATCAGCCAGCCAGTTAGCTAGTCAGCTCTCTCTGCTTCGCGCAGCGGACGACCCGCGCGCGTCGCTGGGACCCCGCCCGGGGCGACCAGCGCGCGTCGCGGGGACTCCGCGCTGCGCTGCGCCCGCAGCCTTGGATTTTGGAGTGCGCGGGCAAAGAGGAAGGAAAAGAAGAGCCGAAAGCGGGCGCGATCCTCGCAAGAGGCGTGCCGACATGGGCGTCGCGACGTGCGGACGCTGCCGTCGGGGTTCCCGCGGAAGCTGCCTGCGGCGGCCACGCCCAGTGTCACGTGTGTTCGGACAGGCATGCTCGACACTTACACTAGGCGGTTCCATGATCGCATTCATGCAAATATATTCACTCGCGCGCAGACCCATTCATACTCAGATTCCCTCGCGCTCTGACTCACCCGCGTTCTTTCTCTCGTAATCAGATCTATCGTATTCCTTTGCGTTGTGTACCCCGCCACATTTCGGCACACCCCTCATGCGGTTCGTGGCCCCATAGGGAGCGCCACCGAAGAAGATACTCACAATTGCGATACTCACAACTGCATATGGTTGGGTCCTTCGCCAGGATATTCCCCACATTCTAAGTGGGGTTCTGATTTTCTCTACACCCGCGTCACACCCGCGTTTCCACCTCACCTCCTCCTTCTCGCTCGTACACACACCACACCAACCACACCACATCGCACCACACCACACCACGCCACACCACACCACACCACACCACACCACACCACACTACACAACACCACCCGTGTGTGGCACTTTCTCGTCACTACAGGGGGTGCGCAGGGGGTGGTCCCTGAGCTCGGCTGCGGGTGCGCAGGGGGGGGGGTCTCTGAGCGCGGCCGCTATCCGTGACGGTCGTCCAGGCACAGCAGGCGTGGCACTTTCTCGACACCATGGGGGATGCGCAGGGGGTGGTCCCTGAGCGCGGCCGCTATCCGTGACGGTCGTCCAGGCACAGCAGGCGTGGCACTTTCTCGACACCATAGGGGGTGCGCAGGGGGTGGTCCTGAGCGCGGCCGCTATCCGTGACGGTCGTCCAGGCACAGCAGGCGTGGCACTTTCTCGACACCATAGGGGGTGCGCAGGGGGTGGTCCCTGAGCGCGGCCGCTATCCGTGACGGTCGTCCAGGCACAGCAGGCGTGGCACTTTCTCGACACCATGGGGGTGCGCAGGGGGTGGTCCCTGAGCGCGGCCGCTATCCGTGACGGTCGTCCAGGCACAGCAGGCGTGGCACTTTCTCGACACCATAGGGGGTGCGCAGGGGGTGGTCCCTGAGCGCGGCCGCTATCCGTGACGGTCGTCCAGGCACAGCAGGCGTGGCACTTTCTCGACACCATGGGGGATGCGCAGGGGGTGGTCCCTGAGCGCGGCCGCTATCCGTGACGGTCGTCCAGGCACAGCAGGCGTGGCACTTTCTCGACACCATAGGGGGTGCGCAGGGGGTGGTCCCTGAGCGCGGCCGCTATCCGGACGGTCGTGGTCGTGGCCTGGGGTGCGCGGCCGCTATCCGTGACGGTCGTCCAGCAGCAGGCGTGGTCGCAGGTTGGTTCCCACAGGCAGCACGTGGCATCGCGCAGGGGGTGGTCCCTGAGCGCGGCCGCTATCCGTGACGGTCGTCCAGGCACAGCAGGCGTGGCACTTTCTCGACACCATAGGGGGTGCGCAGGGGGTGGTCCCTGAGCGCGGCCGCTATCCGTGACGGTCGTCCAGGCACAGCAGGCGTGGCACTTTCTCGACACCATAGGGGGTGCGCAGGGGGTGGTCCCTGAGCGCGGCCGCTATCCGTGACGGTCGTCCAGGCACAGCAGGCGTGGCGCAGGAGCACGGCGGAGCGCTATCCGCCCCGGGGTCGGAAAACGTGGCAGGCGTGACACTTTCTCGGCGCCTCAAGGGAGTGCGCAAGTGTTTGGTATACAAACACAAGAATATAAAAACAGTATGTGGGGTTCCTCGGTAGCATAATTTAGCATATGCGTTTTGTCGGCTTTCACGGCGTTGACGACGGCCCAAGAGGCCCCCAAGACCGCCCTAAGACAGCCCAAGAGGCTCCCAAGAGGCCCCCAGAACGGCCCAAGAGGGCGCCAAGACGGCCCAAGAGGCGCCCAAGACGGCCCTAGAGGGCGCCAAGACGGCCCCAAGAGGGGGACCACGAACGGAAAAGTCTAGCCTTTCGCCCCAAGACGCTCCCAGGAGGCCCCCAGAGCCCCCCAAGAAGCCCCAAGAGGCGCCCCAAGAGGCCACCGGAAGGCGATTTTCTAAGGGGAAAGGTACATTTTTAGCATACAAGGCTTTTCTGCTTTCACTGCGTTGAAGACGCTCCAAGAGGCCCCCAAGACCGCCCCAGGAGGCCCCCAAGAGGCCCCCAAGAGGCCCCCAAAACGGCCCAAGAGGGCCCCAAGATGGCCCAAGAGGCGCCCAAGACGGCCCAAGAGGGCCCCAAGACGGCCCCAAGAGGGGGACCACGTACCGACAAGTCGAGCCTTTCGCCCCAAGAAGCTCCCAGGAGGCCCCCAGAGCCCCCCAAGAAGCCCCAAGAGGCCCCCAAGAGGCCTCCAAAAGAGCCCGACAAGAGCCCCAATAGGACTTCCAAGAAGGCCCAGAGACGCCAAACAGAGAGCGATCGGTCACGCAAGAAGCTCTTCACACCAAGGCTCCCAAGAGCGAACGGTGACGTACAATAGCTGATAAGACCAAGGCTCCCAGCAGAGACCGGTGACGTAACAAGTTCCTGACACCAAGGCCCAGCCAAGGCTCAGGAACGGGCGGCAACGCAACCATCTCTGAACACCAAGGCTCCCACGAGCGAGGGGTGACGTAACAAGCTCTCAACGCCAAGGCTCCCGGTACGAACGGTGGTGTGAGTATTTTCGGTTTCTGTTGCTGCAGCGCTCTTTCCGTTTCTGTGCCGGGCCAGGTCTAATGGCTTTCCAGGGGCCCAAAACATTTCAAGTTGCGCCCCATACGGCCCAAGATTCGCCCAAGAGGCCGCAAAAGACGGCCCAAGCGGGGGGCTCCAAGATGGCCCAACGTGCCCCAAGAAAGCCCAGGACCGCCTAAGGGCGTTCCAAGATGGCTTCAGATGGCCTCGAGACGGCCCAGGAGGGCCCCAAGAGGGCCTAAGAGGGCTTCCATGAGGACCCCCAAAAAGGCCTGAGGAGGCCAACAACATTGATTGTCCTTAGATGTTTCTATAGTTTTTCGATTCTCGCCTTTTTGGGCCAAGAACCGCTCAGGACGGCCCAAGAGGCACCAATGATCGTCCCAAGACGGCCCCAGGAGGGCTCCAAGGCAGCCCAAGAGGGCCCCAACACGGGCCAAGAGGACTCTTCCGTAGCCATTTTGGCCCAAGATGTTTGCTCAAGCCACTTGTTCTCAAACGTTCTGGCATCGGCCATATTCATATAGTCAGTGTTGAGAGAAGGTATTGGGCATGCCCGTGTGGCCGTCTACAATGACCGCTAATGGTACGAATTTCCCAGAACAAGTTTTGCGCAAGATACTGGTGGACTTCCTTTTGATCGCGGGACCACTGATAGCAATGGTTTTGTATTTGAACAAAGTGGCCGTTGGTCGTACCACCCTCGTCCAAGTTGCTGCCGGGGCTGTAACTGCAGTCGTAAGTGTTGCCACGTTTGCCCTCCAATTTCCCGCCTGCCGGAACTGGGTGTCGATATGCTTGATTAGGCCGTCTCGCATGCAGCCAGTGTTTTTCTACGTGATCAGTTTCGTGGTCGGTGCATCTCACGCTTGCTATGCACTGCCAGTGTTCTTGGACCCACTCGCTAGAGACACGTTGGAACTCTTCTTTCCTGTTTCCCTATGTGTGATGTTGTATGCAACTTCAGTGACAGCTCGGTTTTTGCCGTTCGAGGTGTTCTCGTGTGCACTGGCAATTCTGGCCACGTTTACATTGTATGCAGAACATGTGTGTGGAACCCGTGTAATACCCTCATATATACTCCTTATATTTACCTCTCCCGCACCTGGCCGTTTGGGCTCAGGTACTGAGTTGGAGCGATCGTACCTTGATCGCTTGGGAGGGAAAGATATCCATCTATCCCTCCATCTCTCTACCAACGGATCAGGGGTTCTGTACTCTTGTACTTCAACCCCATACACAGGTTATCAGCCCTTTAACGCTCACCTTCACCGACTCGCCCGCGGTGACCTTGCATGCGAGCCCAATGGAGCCGCTTCGGCGCATGCGCCGTAAGGGTTCCATTGGGGCTTCGCGTCCAAGCTCTCCCACGGTGCGACGGCTCGGTGACGAGTTGGAGAGCATTAGTGCGGACTGTGTTGGTGTCCCCGATACCCCCCCCAGCTCCCGAGGACCCGAGGCGCGTCTAGCTGCTGAACTTCGCCGCAGCGCCGCCCGCGGGGGGACAGGAGAAGGAGTAGGAACAGGAAGGAAGGAGTTTCACACGCCGACCTTTGATCCTCCCTCCCCTTCCCCGTCGGGAGCAATCCCAACCGCGTCAGGCGAAAGCCTTACCGGTCTCGATACTCCAGGGCGCTTCCGCGCTAACCGCCGATGGACCTCAGGTGCTGGAACCCCCAGCCCTGCGACCGTCCCTGTGGCGGAGCACGTAGCTACCTTCGAGGAACTCAGTAGACCAGTGTCGGCACAGCCACAGACGCGGTACCCCAAGGTATCATCGGATGAGACATCACACACACATGGTCCGAGTCGCAGCTTGTCCGCGCGCAACCGCCGTGGAGCCCCAGGCCCATACGGCGAGAGCAGGTCGAGCCCGCGCACTGCCTCTCAGAGGCCATGCACTCCCCGCGACAGGGGACACAGGGAAGCTGACGCCCCCCACCTCTCCATCTCAGACGACCAGCTGGCGGAGACGTCCGCCGCAGGTGACATAGCTGAGCTCAGAGACCAGGTTGAAACCTTCGTGTCCAGCCAATACTCTGGACTACTACAGAGCGTTCAGACGAACGCCACTGATACTGCAGCCATACGTCGCGATCTTGACGGCGCCTTAGGGATCATCGATTCCAGGATCGCCGAAGATCGTCGCATCATCGGAGAACTGCAGTACCAGGTTGATCGTGAGGTGTCACACTCAGGTGAACGAACGGCGATGGTCGAGAACCTGCGCAACTATCTCGCGCAGATGGAGCAACAACTTGTGATCGTACGCGACACAGGCATTTCTGCGGTCAGGATTTTACACGATGAGATCCACGACCAGCTCCGTAACCGACCAACCCCAACCGAGGCCACAGACCTCGGCGACGTTCAGTCTCAGATCAATGATCTTCGATCTTACCTAGACCACACTACGGCGACGCTTCGTACCGAAGCACACACAAACTCGTCGAACCTGATCGACATGTTGCAGCGTACTGAGAGAGTCATCACTCAAAGGCTTGATGCGACCAACGCTGTCGTGCAGCCACTCGCTAACCGGATCTCTGACATAGAGCAGCGTTTCCCTGGTGTACAGGACGCCCTGGCAGAGTTGCGTGTCGGACGAGCCCAGACTGATCAGCTGGATTCTCCTCCCACGGTTTACGATTTCGCCCGCCTCACTGACAGGTTGCAGGAGGTTGAGAAGGCGGCGGACCACACGCAGTTAGAGCTCTCCCAGGTTATTCATGAAAGAGATACTGAGAAGGTACGTGTTGAGAGTTATCTCGCACGTCTGGAAAGCGAGGTGGAGGCACAAAGCGCCCGTCTCCGAGCATGCGAGCATCGGCTTGATCGGTATTCCCAACGGTCTCGGGATACTGATGAGTATACACGCCAAAAGGTGGGTCAAATACAAGAAGACATGACGAGCTGGACGAATCAGCTGATCGACCACACTAACGACACCAACATTCACCTTCGACCTGCAGCCGACCCGCACAGGCCGACGGCAGTGTCCGCCGAAGCACCACAAGCTTCAGCAGGACAACAACGACGCACATCTCCAGGAGCAGCCTCCGCGGCAGCTTCTGCACAGACACGCCATGTGTCTCCTGTGCGCACAGAACCAACCATCGACGGTGCACCGATACCCTCACAGCCAGCGTCTGCGGTGTCGGTCCATACTACGACGCCTATCAAGGAGTCAGACACCGTCCGTGTACCTGTCTTGCCTAAGATCACGCAGCTGCTGGAGTGGCAGCAAAGAGTGCGGAAGAACTTCGGGGCCGCCTCAGGGCGACCATCCAAAGCATACGCCTTCCTATGCGTGGCAGAACAGCCCGAATGTACATTCGAGGATTTACAAGACAGTGGAGACTTCGAGAGCATCGATTGCAAACTCGCAACCGCTCTGAGCGACATCTTATCCTCAGACTTACGCTACCAAATCAGGCTCATCGAGACCAGAGAGCACAAAGCAAGACGCATGCTCAAAGGACGCCAGATATACTGGCATATCCTACAGTCCTACAAAGTGACAGACGTCGACGACGACCTGCACGATTTCGAGCGCCCTAAAGAACTGAGGATGAGAGACGAAGATTTGCAACGTTTCATCACCGATTGGGACGCCTTACTCTTGGAATGCCGAGAAGTACCCGATCCAAAGATATTGGAATCGCTATTCCGCACACAGATTCGTAGACATGCATGGATGAAACAAGACATGTACGAGTACCAGCGCATGAAGATGAGCGACCCGAATCGTACCTACGGTTGGCTTCGACAGCGTGTCCTGGACATACTGGAGATTAAACAATTGGAGAAGAATCAAAACAAGCTACGGTACGAACACGAGACACGATCTCAGGTTAACGTGTGCGTTGCATGGAAGAAAGGCAATTGTCGCAATGGTGAACGGTGCAAGGCTTTACAAACATATTCCAGGGGTTGGAAGAACATCAAATCTTCCAGAACATCAACGGCTGGTGGCAACCCCCGCCGTAGTATGTCCACTCCTGCGAATCACAAGAAGCCAGCATCAAGGCCGTTCTGCTTCGATTTTGCCAAGCGCAACACATGTACCAGAGGTGATAAGTGTAACTACCCGCACGTCGCACAGTGCAAGGATTTCGCACAGAACAAGTGCACAAAAGGCGACACATGCAAATACGCTCATCTCGCACCTGGTGCAAAGACTCCTGAACGAAGCCCGAGTCGACCACGGACTTCCAGCCAGGACAGCCGTGGCCGATCACCATCCCGCGGATCAGGAAGCCAACGGTCTTCACAACGCGGGGGGGTTCGCTACGCAAGCGATTCACGACAGGGACGTGACAACCGACGCCAATACGACCGATCCCGTTCCACATCCAGGAGGTCCCAAGACTCTCGCAGCCAATCGAGAAGTCGTTACGACAGATCTTCGAGATCTACCTCCCGAGGACGAGACAATCGTGGCGGCGGACGTGGCAGTCCACGCGGCCGTGATCGATCATATGGCAGTGACAAAGGACGTGGCAAGCGGTATCCGAGCCGCGGATCGTCCCGTGGTTCACCCAACACTAGAGCACGTTCTCCTGCCAACTTTAGACATTCACGCCGTTCAGACCGCAGCTACGTCATCCGCGACAAGACCCTCATGGCCAACACCAAGGCCACAACGACATCTACCAAGATACGTCGTCGGATACGCTTCGACGTACGCAACGTGGACTACTATTTCCATACCATATCTGGCAGAGCCAGACTGGACAGGTGGAAAGAGCTGCCGAATGAGGGTGACATCGTCAAAGTACCAGATCCATTACCACAAAAATGGTGGGATGATAGTGCAGAGGCCTTACGAGAATGTCAAAAAGAGGCACAACTATGGTACGACGAACTGTACGACTACCGACACAACAAAGAGTCGGTGGCCACACCAACTGCGATCCGAAAGATTGACGACACTGTCAAGCAGTCATCAAAGACTGCCCAGACGACAACAACGACAAAGCAAGTCGACACTCCACGCTCGACTGCAGCATTGACAAGGTCTTGGGTTCTTGACAGTGGTTCTGCCCATCATATTCAGGGAAAACATGAACTTACGCAGACCGAGTCGGATCGCATATCTATTCGCGAAGAGCATATTCTGGAAACTGCAAATGGTGATCGTACCGTCAACGAGCACTACGACATACGGCTACCCGAAGTTGGACTGCATAGTTCAGCCCTTGCTTTACCAGACTGCCCATCATTACTATCAGTTGGAAAATTGATCGAGGTTGATGGCTTTCGACAGCTTTGGGATCCTGAGCTGGGCTACATGCTTCAGGATCCGGGGGGCCAATGGTATAAGATTCCAGTCAACAATCGAGTGCCAGAGTTACGACTTGACGACTTAACACGGATACCACCACCACGTTTATGCACTTCGTCAGCACCCCGCCGTCGTCAGCGAAAGCGTTCATCCGCCCGCTGTAACGACACTTGTTGGTGCTGCAAAACTACAGAGCAACCAACCACTGCAGACGAGCTACGACCCCACATAGGGACCTGCCCCAAGAGACCACATGTCGGAGAGGGAGGAGGAGCACGGACCATCACGGTCGAAGAACCTCCCGACACAAGAACAGACGAGACCAACGTGGACACGACCACCGACTCGCCTACGTCTCAGATGCAGTGTTCTCCTCCACAATGCGGGGGGTTCGATATAGCTCAAGCAGACAACGACATACCGACAGAGACACCCACACGAACGCATCCAGACAACGATCGAGTTCTGCCCAACAGACAAAAGAAACCGATCGACCCGATGCATTACATGACTCACAGCCCAAAACATCCCGACTGTGAGATCTGTTCTCGTACGATGGCACAGAATGCCCCGTGTAGACGACAGCGCAAACCACATCCACCGGCAGACCCCACCGAAGAGGATAACGCCTACGAAGCTTTTGTCCCGAAGAAGTTCGGTGAAGCTCTAACTGCTGACCATATCGTACTGGCCAAAGACGATGCCGCGGACAAACATGGCGACAAATATGCACTTGTTGTCCTTGACAGATATACTGGCA